TGAAAATCATTTGAAATTACATATGGCAAAACGATAAATAACAAAACGTTGGCCGCATACTCATATCCAATTCCATTTTCATCAAATATAAATCAACCGAATGACACTCTATGCAAACAGAATTTATTTTCCCAAAAAAGAGTCCCTCCCATGGCCATAGAATTTATGCAAATTCCACTCCATGGTTAGCCAAGCTTTTTAGACTGTTTTCCCTGCTAATGCGCCACTAAGTATGCACTTGTTATTCGTCATTATCCCAACCGATAAAATTATGCGACGCATAAATCGACGTCAAGAGCAATTAACACTTTCTGAAATTGACATAAATTTGATCAAATCGAAAATAAAAACCCGTTTCTGGCCAACACACACTCCACACAACATTTTGCGAATGTTTTCTGATAAGTTTCGTTATTATTGTTGTACACATGCATACTGCGAATATATTTATGAAAAATTCAATTAACAGCCTAAACGTGGGCAGGCGCCAGTCGCCTAAGCCATGCGTGGGATGCAACTGCAAAATGCCACTGCAAGATGCAAAATATATAAAATGCAACTGCAACTGCGGCATTTTCCAGCTGCCGCTGCCCCAGACGAGTTGCATAATCCCCCCTCCCAGCCGGACTAAACCCACTTGGACTGATATGCCACAGAAAAAAAATCACAACTATGATTATGATGGCAACTCGGGTTTCCCTCTCTTTTGCAGAGCAAACTTTCAGTTTCCAGTTATCAGTGTTAGCCCAGCTTCTTGAAGTAAAATTTACTCAGATCCAGGCTTTAGAAACTTGAAAGCAATTTAGAATTTTGTTTGCAAACTATTAAATCAAATAAATCTTTGATGGGGAAACAGCAATAGCATGAGGCTTCAGATTTAATTTAAAGTTTGCCAAATTTAAAATCTTAGTTTAGAATTAGGAAACGAATCTTTCAAAATGTTTTTAATTCCCAAAAATTATATTTATGATACTTTGATTGCTTATATAAATTATGCAAAGCGTTTCATCAAATTAGAGCTGTCAACTTTGCTGCCACAAGATAAATTGAAATGGTCCCAAACTTTTTCACTTAAAGCTGGCTCTGAGGAGATATCCAAACAAACAGCTGACTGACTGTTGTGACTCAGACGACAGCAAATAAATTCAATGCCAGACGCAGCGCATCCCTCACTTTACATATACATACCTCAACAGAAAGCAATTTGAATCCCAGACCACGTACTTGGCACGTTGTTCCTGCCGGCTTCCTTTATTTCCACCAACTTAAGTTGCCAATATTAAACGCTTCGATGGATTTTATGGAGCATAAACAGGAAATTTGAAGAAGAATGTCCAATTTGCCATGGCCAAAAGCGAAACAAAGAGCTACCAAAGAGTAGACCGAAAGAAGAAGTTGAGAAAAGGGCGAGAAAGGAAAAGAAAAGTCCATCCCATTGGCATTGGCATTTTCTTTTGTCACTTGCAGGAAACTCTCCATGGCAAATTGGCATTAGGAAAATCGAATATATATATAGCAGAAGGCGCAGAACTGTTGAAATGACTGCCTGCTTCCCTTCCTCGGATTTCCAGCTGTTGTATTTTCCCTTTTCGTCGTCATTATTGTGTCTGTGTGCGGTCGCTGCAGAAACCATAAAACATTAATTTCAATTGGAACTGCTGCTCAAGGAAGGATGGAATGGGATAGGATAGTTTGCTGACCCACACACACACGGAAACCGAGAGCCAAATGAACTAAACGTTCATTTACAGCTACGGTCGAAATAATAGCCCCTTGAGACACACTTTGCATTATGATGATCTGAATGATCAGTTGGGGATTTGAAACCTGTTAGATAAGTCGTTGCAGAGGATATTTATTTCATTGTTGGGTATATTTTAGGAGGTTTTATGTATATGAATCCTTTGTTATTCTAATTTTTTAAAAAAATATATTAAAAGATAATTTGATAGAACAGAAATATCTTAAAAACTATTGTACTTAAAGATTTCCATTTATTACAAACTCTAACAAGTGGATCAAACAAGTAATCGAGCCCTAATTGAGACTATATAGCAGATCAAGTTTTAGTATAGTGCTAAATAAAATAATATATTTCAAAATTAATTTTCAACCATAAAGTTGGATGGTCCTAAAAGAAAAATCTTCAAAACTATCCCCAAAGAACTATTGGAACTTTTACCAGCTCTAATTGATACTCTTTAGCAAAACAAGTTTTCGTGTCATCCTAAATCTAAATAATATATTTTAGGAGTTAAATTTTATAATAATTGTTTCCTGAAACCCCATTTTTCTCCACAACTGCTAAACTATCGCATCTTTCCCAGCTCTCATAAGGACTCTCCTACCGTTCTATTATGTTAACCTCAACTGTGGATAAACGAGCGGGCGGACATAATATGAAATTAATTTGTTAGGCAACCAGAGACGGCAAAAATGGTAACCAAAAGAAACAACAAACACGTAAACACTCTGGTTGGGAAAAGTTGCAGACCGCAGCAGCTGTTCAAAGAAAACAAAAACAGCAACAAAAGCAACAATGACGGCGATGAGAGGGCGCAGCATATGTTAATTAAAGAAGTGCTCATTTCCCCCAACTCGATTCAACTTTCACATTGCATTTTTGGCCCTAATCAAAGCCACAAACAATGATTTAACAGAAACCCCAACACTTTTTTCCATATCCATTTCGATTCGTGACACTGCCATACTCGCAATGTGTCAAAATCTGTCAGCGGCACTTAACCTGCACATAAGTCAGTGTCAGACATTAATTTTAAATTTTCGGGCTATTTTGGGATAGTGAAGTAGTGCTTCCGACACCGACACAGACACCTCTAGCAACAGCTGCTTCCACAATTTCCGCTTAATTTTGGTTTAATTGTGCAGTTTGTTTAAATACACATTTGGAGAGTTGAAAAAGGGCAAACTTTCCACTCGAAATCCTTGTCACTTGACTTGGACAAATTGAACTTGACTCCTGGTGGGATCCCTCGAGAATCGCCAGCTGGTATTTGAAACATCTGTCGATGTATTCGATGTTTTCTTCATTTCTTGGGGGGTGTGGTCTTTGAAATGTGCGCTAAAGAACCATTCAAAACATGCCCAAGCGATTGTAAAATGCTAATAATAATTGAAAAAACTCGCCTCTACTCAAAAGTCTATGAGATAGATGGGCACTTCCTGTAGGAGGTAACGCATATGCTTTCGATAAATCATAAATTTATATTCTCCAGCACTCTTTGACACTACGATTTATACCCGATTCTTGGGAGCGGCCCTCTTTTTTTTTTATGCGGCAGATGTCGGGGGGCCAAGAAAACATCAAACGAGAGGCCCTGGAAAATGCGTGCACTACGGCCGCATCAGACTGTGAAATTCATGGATCAATTTGAAAGTTTAACAACTGGCCATTAGCACTGGGAAGAACTATTCCTCATTTCCAAACGCTCGCTCTCATTTCGCTTTTGCGGCCATAAAATATGAAACATGAAATGAAATCCATAATTTTACTGCCTGGGGATTACGGATTGTCAAAGCGCAGCGATGCATAAGTTCATAAGGGCGGCGGCGGTGGATGGAAAAACCCGGAAAACAAGAGAAATACATATATGGAAAACTAGAAAACAGAGGCAAAAAGGGATATTTACAAACTGTGGCACACGTGCCTACCGAAAACCCTCCCTTCGGAAAGGGAAATTGGCATAGGGCCCGGCTCATTATGAGTCTCGGAAAATGCACTTTAATCTCTCAGACAGTGAATCACCCTGACTAGACTGGGCGACTGGAAAACTGGGATTTATCCGACTATAATGTTGGAAAGAATGAAATGGCTAAAGTGGATAAAAATTGCTATTTAATAATCAATTATTCCTTGTATATTATTTGTATATAAAAACTATCAAATATTTCTGTAATAGGGTATTTTTTATATCCAGTACCCTACATCTGCTAATCGCAGTATAACTATTTGAATAATTAGGCTAGATAACATTATAATATAGCCTAATTACTCAAGTTGATATACCCCACAAATGAGGCTCATTAAAATGATATTTGAAATTTTTGTTCATTGATACTCAACATCATACAGTCTAACGAACTTTATAGTCATGAGGTTCCTGTGTATCGCTGGCCTGGTATTGGCCCTTAGTGTCCCATTATTGGGAGATTTACTAACACGTCACACGAACATAAAGTGTGAAACTAAGGACACATCGTATCTGGAAGTAGAGTTTTGCCGGTTAAAGGTCTTGGGACGTGGCATTATCGGGGCTAATGTTCATTTAAAAATGCTGCAACTGCCCATCAAATCGGTGACCATTAATTACGGCGTTTGGCGGAAGCTTTCGGGATATCATCCCTTCTTGTTCAATGTCTCTGTGGACTTTTGTCGCTATCTGAGGCACCCAAATCCCGGAAACGTATTTCACTATTTCTACAGGGCCTTGATGCCGTATACGAATATGAATTACACTTGTCCTATAACAGTAAGTAAGAGTTCACTTCATCTGTTTGATTTTTCCTCAATGTTATCCTTTTTCCAACTAGAGTGACTTAATTCTAAAGGACTTTGTCTTGGAAGATAAAATGTTCTCAAAATTTCCCGTTCCCAGCGGCAGTTATATGTTTTCCATCAAATTATTAGGCGCAGGAGTATGGAAGGGATCGATTTATTCCTATATGGACCTGTATGTTGACAATAATAAAACAATTCAAAAGAATCACTAAAAATAAAACTATAAACTGATCCGCTTACATAAAATATTTGTTCCGGTTTAAACGCTGGTCAGAAGAGACATAAATGTGATCACAAAATCTGATTAATAAACATATAATTTACAGTTTATCCAAAGTAATTTTGATTATATAAAACAGATATTAAATAAGCTTTTAAAATGAAAAGATAAACACCTACTGTATAGAATGCAAACCCTAAATACTTTTAACAAAGAACTAAAAATTTATAAAATTAACATTTTATTAACTATCGAATCTTATTATAATTAATAAAACCATTTGACAAATATAAGCTGACTTACTCTAAATAAGATATTATTAAATGGATCGTAAAGATTTTAAAGCAAAATGTTTCTAGTCACAATAAAGCAATAGATGATCAGCCTATTCAAATCGGAAATAAATTGCTTAATAATTGCACGTGTTTCTGACTGCAAAACAATTCATCCGACTAAATAATAGTTTCATCATCATTTCGCCATGAAGTTCGTGGCGGTCAGAGTTCTGGCCTTAGTTTTTGTTACTCTGGAGTGTAGTGGAGATATTAAAACCCGACACACGAACATAAAGTGCGAGACTTTAGACAAATCTGTCTTGGAGTTTCCTGTGTGTCGGCTTAAAGTCCTAGGACGTGGCATCATCGGAGCAAGTGCGCACTTGAAGTTTCGGAAACTGCCATTAAGAAGTATTTTGATTAACTTGAGCAGCTGGAAAAGAGTGTCGGGATACCAACCGTTCCTCTTTAATGTCACCGTGGACTTTTGTCGCTACATAAAGCATCCGAACCCTCTGAATTTTTTCCACTATTTTTATTTAGGCATTAGGACCTTTATCAATTTAAATCACACCTGCCCTTATAACGTATGTATGAGTACTCTTCTATTTGATTAAATTACTCTAAATGTATTTTATCTTAATAGCACGACATTATCCTGAAGGACTTTGTTCTAAACGATAAAATGTTTGCCAAAGTTCCATTTCCCAAGGATAGTTACATGTTCAGCATTAAATTCGCAACCAATGGGGTATGGACAGGCATTATTAATTCATATTTGGACATTAATGTGGACGGTAACCCAAATATATATTTTTAAGCTGCATTTTTAATAGCTTAAAAAATGTAAAATAAATATAGTTCAAAAACAAACAAAGATCTAAGTTAATAAACCAAATAAAGTTTATATTTTGTTAAAGGAATACTGACAAATTTAATCAAAACAAAAAAGGATAAGCAATCTTCTTCTTTATTAGCTCAAAGTGAATTAAACATCAAATCGAAATTTCTTCAATATGTTTGTTTTCTGCTTGAGATAAATCCACTTAAGTCAGGCCAAGGCAATGGCCTCAGTTCCTAAAACAAATGCTGTGCAAAAACTTTGAACAAAAGATAAGAATTTAATTCCTCATACCTCAAACCAAATATACACATAGATGAAAATTCGTTTTAAGGGGGTGAAAAGTTTGTTTTTCTCCTTGGCAAACTGCAAAACGATTTTTCTAAAACGTTCGGACAGCTCGAGGCGGAAAAAGTGCGTAATAACACTGGTGAGCAAAACTGATGGTTAAGAGAAACGGAAGCTGTAAGCCATGATAGAATTATACAAGGTAGTCCACTCGACTGCCGAAGTCGTTCGGGTTTTGGTCCATTAATGTCAGTGCATGGCCTGCTTGTCGAACTGAAAGGTTGTGTGTGGACGGTTTTTTTTTTCAGAGCTTTAACCCTTAAGTGGCCAAGAAAAAAATTACATTTACATACGTAGATGAGGTTTCGCATGGAGGTCTGATGAAACCATCATCGACATTTAAAAACAAAATAAATCAACTCGAATTTATATTTATTATTTTATTATATGTATTATTATTTATTATTTATTTTAAGATACGCATATACTTTGGAATTAAGAGCTTAAACAAGAGAATGGCTGTTAAACAACAAAAACAAAGAATTATGTCAAATTCAAAACTTATAAATATAAAATTATAAACAATACAACTCTTGTCATAACTAAGGAAACTTTTAGCCCCATGCACCGTGTACGGGTTAATCGAAGCACTATGTTGCCATTTCACTCACACTAACTATTGAATGCTATTTCACTCGCACTTACATCAGGGGACTATGATTTTGCCGAGTGGACTACCTTGTATAATTCTATCATGCTGTAAGCTATTGTTCTTTAATTTAATATTGTTTGTTTTTGGAAGCTGGTCACACAGTATGGGACAGTGTGGCCTTTTGGTTTATTTTATTGCATATATTGATCTAATGGTCCCACTTTTTTCTATATTGGAGGAAATAATTAAAAAGTTATTTCTGATTTGTAAAAAAAATTAATTTATACAGAGAAAAGTTATTTTTTTCTATTATTTGTTCTTATTTTTTATAAAATAAAGGACCCTATCCTGGCTGTTTGGTGTACATGGCTGGTTTACATTTACAATTTCATAATGCAAAAGTTTCACTGCGCAACAAGCCACGTCCTCGTTGTCGCTGGATGCCAAAGGACAAAGAAAAGGCAACGCTGGCAGCGGAAAAGCGCTCAACTTAGCCCAGCTTAGCGACTTGCTTGGGGCGAGGAAAACATTGGGGGGAAAAATGCTGGGCAAAAACGGGGGAGTCACTGGGCGAAAAGTGAGCCCCAGCATGTGGCCAAAGTCATTTGCCAGAGCAAGTGAAAAATGCCGCTCAGAAACCAATGAACTCTGGGTGCGGGCCTGTGAGTATATGGGCTTTATGGGCGGAATGGGAAACGGAAGACGTCGGGGCGGCCATTTTGTTAGACAACTGCGACGTCGTCGGCGGCCATTTTGCAAATGGCAGCAACAGGAAGAAGCCGAGGCCCCAGAAATGCCCCCACATCATGTGTCAAATTAAAGGCAAATGAAATGATATATGCGTCCGAGGAAATTTCCCAGGTGGCACCGCCACGAAAACCATTTGATTGCTGCAATTAAATGGAATGGATGTGGATGTGGATGAAGCCGCTCCCAAGAATCCCTATTTCTTTCCGGTCATGCAAAAAACTCGTTTGTCCTCGAATAATTGGACATTCTCCGGGTTAGATGGCGAGTAAAATTCAATTGGAGCTTCGTTTGCCCAGCAATCAAGCAACTCTTTTATGCGCTGACTCTGGCTAAGCCCTAAGTAAACTTCATGCCACAAAAGAAAAGCAGACAAAACCGGACAGATGAGCAGATACAGGGAAGGTTCGATAAGGAAAACATTGACCTAGGAAATTAAATAAATTCTTAAATAAATACTTAATCATTAGAGTATTTTGATTAAGCACACGTTTAGAAAACTAATGGTTCCTAGGCTCCCTCACTGCCGTCATTAATTTCCTTAACTTGACTTTTCTGTACGTCCCCTGGCCGCAGTTGGAGTTACCGAAGTTTGCCTGTGTGTGGCGCGTGCCTGGGCCAAGTTATTGACCGATAGTTGTGCCTGCTAACTGGCGACGCTTAGACCGGACAGTTGTCGTCGTCGTCGTCGTTTGTCGGTTTGCTTTAATTAAAACATCACATACGGACCACGGACTTGGGAGCCACGAATGCCCACACACAGCCACATCCACTTCCACTGCAGACAACCTGAGACACGGTCTTAGCGCAGAGTAAGCCGCTTAAGTTGCCCTTTCCTCGCGACTGTCGACCGTCGTGTTTCGTAATTATGCTAAAGCCCCAATGATCCGACCTTTTCCCTTACCGGCAGAGGCAATCTTATCACGGCCGATCGGCGGTGAATGCGTGGAAATTGATTTATAATTTCCAATGGCAGCCGCTCTTTGACACACTTCGATAGAGCTATCAATATGGCGGCAGAGGCAGCTTTTGTACCGCCCAGCCTTGCACATAGAAGGTATTGTACATAAATACATATATCATATCTTATCGGGCCTGTAATCGAGCACCATTTATCGATTTCCATGTAACCGGGGCGAGGTGGGTGGAGAAGTGTTAACATAAAAGAACATTGAGGTTATGCTAGCTATATTGCATTTAGTCTCAATTTATTCGGGGAATATCAATTACTAATTTGAGTTTTTTCATTCTTTTCTTTTCAGGTAAAATATATGTAGAGTTTGTATTAAGTAGTTTATTAAGATATATAAAGTAAGGCTGAGATGGGTAATGATAAGTGAGAATAACATAAACTTTTAGCAACTTTCTTTAAGTTAACAACTTTAGGCGACTTTAGCAACTTTGACAACTGATATTTAACTTCATACGACTTTAGTAGATTTCTTAACAATTTAATTAAATAACTCCGGAAAAACACGACTGCTCCTTACAACTTCTCTCAGCGACTGACTCTCTTCCCCTCTCGTCACTCTGCAACTCCCGCTCTTGGACTCGCTGCTCTCATGATCGGCTGATTGCCATTCGCAACGACGCAAAATGTGTACTCGCTGCCAGACTGTACCTCAACACCTTACATATATGTTCCCGGGAAAGCTATGGAATCGGTTTTATAGAGGATTTTTCGAAGGAAAGAATATTGTTTGGTTGTATTCTTAGATTTTAGCTACCTTTCTTTTGGTTTTTATGTAATCTTCTTGATTTAATCTATATAAATCATGACAGGAAGACAAGTACTTCCACATCCAAAGGTCTTCAGTAAGCTGAAAGTCCCTGTAAAAGGCTGATATATGTACATTGTAACAATCAGAGCTCAAATAGTAATCAAAATACTCTCCAATTTCGTATTTTATAATTCCACATTTTATGCTCGTTGCTTGGGTAATCTGCGAGTCGAGTGAACTTGATCCTTCTTCTGGTTAAATACATATATTTTCCAAACGATTTTCCATTTAATCTCCGCTCAACTGCAGCTGCAACATCATCATCAACATCATTATTATTATCATCGACATTGGAGGGATCCATTGAGGCACAAACTCATTGAAACTGACGCGTCATAAACTGCTGAAGGCTTAACTCTCCGCTCCGTATTCAATGGATTTCTTTTTGTGCGCCTTGGAAAACTCCCTCCTAGGTTAGGGAAAACAAAAGCTCCACGTTGAAAGGATGAAATGGTGGAGAGCAGAGACAAGAATGCGGAGAACTCAATAAGCTGCTCAGAACCTGAACATTGATTGAAATCGAAGACGGTAACGAGTAAACGTGGAGTGACACAACTTGAATTGAATGATGGCCATAATGGCCAAGGCGATGATGATGATGACGAAGATATGCGGCATCCGAAGCCAACTTGCTGGATTTGAAGCCACTTTTGCGGATGGAATTTGTAGTTCACAACTTTAGTTTAGTTAGTTTCGCAGTCGCAACAGTGGAAATTGAATAAAACATGAAGTTTGAGAAGGCACAGAAGAATGCTTACTGCATTCCTGGAAATGCCTTTGTAGCCCAAGAAGTTGGCATTGCCTACCTCTGGCTAGATAAAATTTTAATTAACTTGAGGAATGAATCAAGGCCTCCATCACCATCTTCTTGTTCGCCTTGTTTACCTCCAAAAGTAAACGAAAGTCAAGCCAAGATTTTCTGTTTGGCAAACGCTGAAAACCCGCGTTTATTACTAGGTTTAAGCCTTATTATAGCCCGGAGCAAATTAGCTGCAAACTCTGGGAAGAAACCCATCTAGCATTTCTTGGGAATCTGCAGGCAAAGTGTTGTTGCTAGACTCGTCTCGTTTTCTGTATGCAGAGCCAGTTTTTTGTAAAGAAGCTGCTCAGGCTGCCTCTCCTCCTTTGGTAGAAGAACAATATGGAATAGTTTATTTTTAATGCCACCATATCTAGACATCTACATATCCTACAAAGTCTATACACGCAAAACTAACAAGAACAAAAAGAAAATCATGCAAAAAAGAAATCTCTTCTGCATAATAAAATTTGTTGTCCTGAAATGAAGTGGCGCAAACCCTTAGATGATTATCGGATTGGTGTAGACAGCTTTATGGCAACGAACACACTTGTATATCTCCTGTAATTTGAGTACTTCATTGCCAGGACAAAAGAGGAATATCTCCTGCTGCTGCTCCTCCTCCTTCTTGCAGCTCCTTTATTTAGTTTTGCGCAGGATTTTTTTGTGTGTTGCGTTGCTGAAATTTCAGGGGCAAAAACTCCAAGGAAAC